TCTTTTTTTTGCTTCCTCCTCCTATTCCTTCATCTCCCTGTCTGTGTCTGTGTAGTACTGCTGTGCAGCTCAGCAGGCTGGAAGAGAGCAGTCATGAGGAGCTGTCAGTGTACATTAGCTGCTGTTTACACCCCCAGAGAGGAAAGGAGACACACACACACACACATACACACACATACCAAGCTGCCATCTGGCGCTGCAACACTAACTTGTCTATGACATGACAAACCAGCAGCTTGCTGGCTGACACTGCCACAGCACTGGGGAAGGGGGGATGGTGGGAGGGAAGCCAGGAGGAGGAGGATGGTGGGTAAAGCTGAGTGACAGACTGACAGTAACAACTAGTCACCAGCTCTAATCAGGTTTTTAGAATAACGATGGTTGTGCGAGCCCATTCAGTGTGTGTGTGTGTGTGTGTGTGTGTATGTGTGTGTGTATGTGTACCTTGGTTCTGAGTTTGCTGGATGTGTGCGTTCTGCCCCTGGTCTCCGTTGACCCACGGCTGCATACGAAGGTATGGCTCTCTGCTCCTCTGGCTCAACTTGTTCCACGGTTTGTGTCGCGACAGGCTGTCACTCAGTATTCCCTAAAACGAACGCCATGAGAACAGTTCAGACATGAACACCAGAAAGATTGTGAAAGAAAGGGAGGGTCCTTTCATTTTGCCTCCACCCTCACCTCTTTAGAGTCTTCCTGGTTGTGGTTTTCCTCTACCGCCTGGCTGGACATGGTCCTCCGTGGATCTGAGTGCATGTTGCTCCACCACTGCTCCCTCCAGTAGCCCACCCCTCCGGCGCTTCCGGAGCGGGCCGAACCTTCGGAGGCGCGCCCCAGCCTGAACGCTCCGTCGGATGACATGTCAATCCCTGAGGAAGCTCGGCCCTCTCGCTTTCCACCAGAGCTGAAGTCCAGGATGGGAGACGGGGACGAAGGCGAGGACAGCAAGGAGCTGGGAGGCTTCTTGAGCGAGAGCGCCAGGGGGTTGTAGGGTGGGAGGGGGGCAGTGAGAGAAGAGTTCAGGATGTCCCTCTGAGACAGTGAGGCTGAAGAGGATGAAGATGAAGCTTTGAGGATGGGCTCCAGCGCAGCCTGTTGAGCCTCCATCTCTCTGCGCGCCTGCTCCAAGATGGAGCGGATGGCTTCGTCTGATCCGCTGCCTCCTCCGCTTCCCACTCCACCTCCACCCCCGCCCTTCAGTCCCGTGTAAGACGGCTGAACGTGGGACAAGTCTATTAAAGAAGGGGAAATTGGCCGTCAGGACAGACCCAGACATAATGTAGCACCTTTTAACGCTCGGGCTGCTTTGGAGATGAGGAATAAACTACAACTCACCAGCTTTCTGCACCTGCAGCTCTCTTTTGGCCTGCTCCAGGATGGACTTGATAGCTTCGTCTGAACCTGCCTCGGGGGTGCGGACACGAGCCGTGATGTTACCTAGAAGGAAAGGACGAGGGAATGGGAAGAGACGGGAAATTACATTGAGATTAAAAACACAAAGATAGAGCCTAAACGAGGAATAATGGAGCCAACAACCATGTCAAATAATTACTGTTAACACAGCACAAAGAACATTCCCACCACTCAACTACACGGCAGCTCTGTAAAGATCGTCTTCATTTCTCTGGTCCGTTTGGAGCTCACACATGCACACTTCAAATAAATACTCCCCACAGAATAACAACTACCAGTAAAATGCCTAAATACACATGCTGGATTTTCCTTTGACGCAAAGACTGCACAAGACTGTGTGGTTACCTTCAAGGCACATTTATATCTGTATGCCTGCCTGCAATTAATAAACTGCAACACACACGCACGCACACACACACACACACACACCATGGATACACCCCGACACAAACATGCCACACAGACAGAACGTGCTAGAATCTCTGCATGTGAAGGCGACAGACCTGCGTGTGAAGGTGTATCAGAGAGGGCTCTCCGCTTCGGAACATCCTGAAACACTCGGCTAAGCTGGGGCTGGCCTGAGCCCTCTGTTAAAAACAATATACCACACACTATGTTACAGCACTACTGCGTTGGGGTTGTTCCTTCTTTTATAGCTAGACTACGTGGTGCCCTGCAAATGCAAGGATTGTTTGTTCCATCCAATGCACATTATATTGTCCCATAAACACATTGATCTGTACCATCTGTGGCCACAGTTGTAATTAAAAGTTCTACTCGAGCTAAAAATGTTCAAGAAACCCACAACTGAAACACACGAGTGAGGGATTCACAATTCACCCAGCGAGTTTGAAACAAAGGCAGATGAAGTGCAGGTTCATTTTGGAATACATTTTTGAGGCCACCTTCAATCAAAAATGTCCTGATGCGTAAAGAAAAGCAGGCCCAGGCTAATCGAATCTAGCCACAGTTAACAGTACCCCTGGCTTCCTTCTAGTTCCCTCCAATCAATACTATTGATGTGTGAAAGGTTTCTGTATTGACCACAATAGCTGAGAGAGGCTCTTGGGATCGGTGCGTGACCAGGAACTCGTTCAAAACACACAGGTGTGGCACAGAGAGGGAGTTAGAAAAGAGATAGAAAAATAAAAAAGCTAGTCCATATTGACAAGCTAATCAATAGCAGGGCTGTGCACACATGCACACCAGCGACACACACATACACATACGCACACACTCCTTCACACACAGGCATGCAAATACATAGACTGACCTCTCTGTCGTCCCTGAATGCTGCGCAGAGCGAGGATGTTCTGCTCGTCGGCGAGGAACTGCCTCATCTTATGGAAGGGCTCCTTCCCTCGGATGGTTAGCTTGTTCCACGGCTTTGGTCTCGCCAGGATCTCGCTGACCGAACCCTGGGACAGTCCCAGCACGTAGTGGCCAAACACGCGCTGGCCGATGTTGTGCTTGATCAGCTGCTCTTTCACCTGGCGGGCGATCTCCGCCGTGTCCATGTCCTCGCCGTCCAACATGCTGCCGGTGTTGGCGTCGGAGTGGCTGGGTGACGGAGACGGGGCGCTGCCCGCTGTGCTGCTCCCGTTGATGGGAGCCATATCAGGACTGGCCGGAGGTGGCTGAGGGCTGCTGGCTGCCAGAGGGATGGTAGCAGACCCCGAGCCAGGTGTGGAGGTAGGGATGGAGGTGAGGGCTGGAGTGAAGGGGGTGAACAGGAGCGCTCCACTGTGGATTCCAGATGACTCCTGCAAGGCTTTCGAGTAGAAGGTTTGGAGCAGCTGCCGCTGAATCAGGGAATTCAGAGCCATCTTACCCCCCACCAGAGGGAACATGGGGGAGTACAGCTCCTGTCCAATGCCCGTAGGAGTGAAGGGGTGCGTTTCGCTGCTGGTTGTGGCAGTGTTGAGGGGGTCTGTGTGAGCGCGAGACAGGGCCAGCTGAGAAGAGGAAGGGACAGAGGGAGGTGGAGGAGTAGGCGAGGAGTCGCTGTTCACAGTGTCCTCCTTTGTTGTTGTGGACTCTTCTGTCCCTTTTCGCCCGGCTGACCCTACAAGAAAGGTCAAACACATAATGCATTATGGGGGGAGTCAACAAAAAAGGGGGTTCCAAAACAAGAGAGAGAGAATAAATAAAGTTATCTTGGTCAGGTCTTTTCCAAATTAGTGAACATTGTTTTTCCTTTTTTGCCAAGCCCCCCCAAGACAAAGTGCCCATGCATTTGTGATTTCAACCTTTCTTGTAAGACACAGCCTGGAAGAAAAAAAAAAAGGACAAACAAAACAGTCTCAACCATTAGCCTGGCCCAGGGCTCGTTTCTCTCTCCCACAGACAGTGTGGAGGTAATAGGTCAAATTTGTCCTTACAAAGTCCTCTTCACTTCTGCTGCTGCACAACATGTCGTTCTCTGTCCGTTGTACAACACAGTCTATAGTTCTTATAAAACAAAACACTCCAGGTAAAAAAGAAAAGAGCAATGAATCTTTAAAAAATATATATTTCTCATCTTTCTTCAGCGGTTTAACAGACAAATGTAATAATTTTACAATCACAAGATCATATAGAAATTAAACTACATTATTCTGTCTCCCAACTACAGGAATTCATCTTGATGACGAGTGCTGGGGAGAAATATTCTAATGCATAACCATTGAGACTAACATGATTCAATGAGACAGTAAGCTCCTCTCATGGAGAATGTTAATCAATTCTAAGCTATTCAACTATTCAAGCCTAAAGCGATGACATTTCGAACCTAAAAACAGTTGCAGAGGGCAAAAGTCCTGACGTAAGGAACAGAGTGTGATGTCCTCGTTTTTCTGAATGCTATTTATTTTTAATGTAATGTTATTTATTTTACCTTTCAGGTTGACCTCCTGCTGGTGTATTCACAAGAAACATTTGTTTCTGTGCTCTTAGAAATGTGCGACTGAAGAACTGCACAAAAAATTCACTTTTTTTTTCATTGAATCGTTAAATCTGTAGATGGAAACGTTGTTACCGAGATTATTCAAAATAATTAACAATTTTAAAGTATTCTCAGAGAAAAAGATGCCTTTGTATATAAACATGTAGTGGCATCAAAGGTTTTGGGAGCTCAGATCAAATATTTAGTTTCTGTGAAAAACATTCAATATTCAATTAAATAAGTACTTTAAGTCGACTTGTGCAGTCTGAAAATACGAGCTCATAAGTGGAAGTTCACATTGTCAACACTTTAAATGATGATTTTTATTAAATGTTGAATAACCCGCTACGTTTTTCATTTCTTGTCAGACTGAATATATCAATCAACATCAACTAAACTAATGCTGATGTTGGTCGTTACCTTTTAGGGGTATTTCAAAAACAAGACCGTCCACATCAGAAAATTTGATCAAAACATTTGCATGCCACTGTGCATGTTTTCATCTTTCTGCTGCACCCTGCAGCTCATTCTACATCTCTGCTCAACCTCACCTGAAGCTAAACTGCCTTCTTCCAGCCATTCATGAGTTTTGAACTCAGCTTCTTCCAGTTTTTCTGGTCAGGGAACTCAAACCTTTAAAGGCCTTTTGCCATCTAGCCAGACTTACCACTCAGTTCGGTGTTGGCGATGCGCAGAGCAGCGCTCTCTGACTGAAGGGCTCGATTCTTCTCCAGCAGCAGCACCTCCAGAGGTTTGGAAGAGTCCTGATGAAGAGGACAGGTGGAACAGAGACAATGACTTCTTCTTTAGATGTTAATACAGTACTTACTGTTTTTCTGGCAATAATCAGTACCACATTATTTCAACAGCACTATATCGAATGTGGCAGCATGGTGGCGCAACTGGTAGAGCTGCTGCCTCTCAGCGAGCAGGTTCCTGGTTCAAACCCCGGTCCAGGGACCTTTCTGGGTGGAGTTTGCATGTTCTCTCCGTGCATGCGTGGGTTTTCTCCAGGTACTCCGGTTTCCTCCCACAGTCCAAAAACATGCATGTTAGGCTGATTGGTAACTCTAAATTGTCCCTAGGTGTGAGTGAGAGAGTGAATGGTTGTTTGTCTCTATGTGTCCCTGTGATGGACTTGCGACCTGTCCAGGGTGTACCCCGCCCCTCGCACAGTGATTGCTGGACATGGGCACCAGCGACCCCCATGACCCAAAATGGAATAAGCGGGTAAAGAAAATGGATGGATGGATGGATGGATGGATATATCGAATGTCTTTATTACCTGCACAGAGTCAGAAGTTCCAAACTCCATAGTCTTGAGGATACTGAGGAGATAAAAAGAAACATGTAAACTCCTACCTATCATTTAGCATCATTTCTTTTCTATTACTGTCTCTTAAAAAAACAAGACGTACAGGGCAATGTAAGACAATAAAAAAAACTAAAAAAGCTTCACCTGATTTTAGAGCACTCTGATGTTTACATATATATTCTTGTTGCTGACTCTGGTCTTCTGTCCATCCTCATTCTATTTGACCTAAGTTCTTCCTTCAACACGATCTGTCATTCTATCCTCCTCAACAGACTAACTTCCACTGGCGTCTCAGGTACTCCGTTAGACTGGTTCAAATCTTGTTTCTCTGACCGCACTCAATTCATTCAGCTTAAATCCTTCCATTCCCAGTCTTCCCGTCTCCATGGGTGTGCCCCAAGGCTCCGTCCTCGGGCCCCTCCTCTTCATCATTTACGTCATTCCTCTAGGTCATATCTTCCGCAAATTTGGTGTTCATCTCCACTGTTATGATGATGACACACAGCTCTACTTGTCAACCAAACCAAACTCCACTAACCCTCCCTCCAGCCTCACTGACTGTCTCAGTGAGCTCAATCACTGGTTTTCTAACAATTTCCTTCAACCAAACAGTGACAAAACAGAAATCATCCTTGTCGGTACGAAAAACTCTATTTCAAAATCAGAACATCTTCTCATCCCCCTTAACAACTCTGCTATCCCCCTCGCCTCAGGTCAAGAGTCTCGGCATCATCCTCGACACCACTCTTTCCTTCACTCCACACATCAACAATGCTACTTGGTCTGCCTAATTCCATGTCCGAAATATTAACCGCCTCCGTCCTTCTCACACCCCGCTCCACTGCCAACCTTGTTCACAGCCTTGTGACTTCTCGGACGGACTACTGCAACTCCCTTCTTTATGGCCTCACCAACAAGTCTCTTCAGAAGCTATAGATGGTCCAGAACTCAGCTGCCCACATCATAACTCAAACCTCCTCCTATAACCACATCACTCCTGTCCTGCAGCAGCTCCACTGGCTCCCGGTTAAATCATGCATCGTCTTCAAAATTCTTCTTCTCACTTTCAAAGCTATCCACAATCTTGCTCCTCCTTAACTATCTGACCTACACATCTCCATCCCCTCTCACTCTCTCAGATCCTCCTCTTCGCTACACCTCCATGTACCCTCTGCCCACCTCTCCCTCATGGGGAGCAGGGCCTTCACCTGTTCTGGCCCTCACTTCTGGAACTCTCTATCCCCTGACCTACGAAACACCACCTCTCTTTCTCTGTTCAAGACTACTCTGAAAACACATCTCTTTAGACTCGCTTATCCTTCTTAACTTTGTTTTATGTATTTTATATTCTTTAAGTATTTTACTGTATATTTCAATTTATTCCTGCTGGTCTTTGCATTGTTTTGACACAATCTTATCCGATATGTTTCTTGCTATAAAGTGTCCTTGGGTGTACTGAAAGGCGCTTTTGAAATAAAATGATTATTATTATTATAAATCTCAAACAAACACATACATTTTATTTATAGGTAAAAACCCTAAACAGATGTGATAAACCCATCAGTGTTGTTCACACTTCCTCTCTTGTTTACGCCTCACCTCAACTCCTTCTTGACCTCCTCATAGTCGGCCTGCTTTTCCAGTTTCTCCTCCAGTTCCTGTGGTTTACAAAAAGATTAAAACATGAGACATTTTATGACAAGGGCTGATTCCAGTGACTTAAAGCAAGTCTATTATAAATAAGCAACTAGTTGCAACTAAATATGAAAGTTATGCTTAAGTTAGTTGCACAAAAACCATTAGTTTTGTTTTGTTAAACGGAGCTGAATGTTGTTGCTACCTTGAGAACTGCAGATTTGCTGCTCAACTGCTGTTCCAGCTGTGAGATCTGGGAGCTGGTGGTCTCTCGGAGTTTGGTCAGGCTGGCCTGCAGTCTCTGGACATCCTCCACCAGCTGGGCGGTCTCCCTTTCTTTGGCCCTGAGCTCCGCCTCCAGACTTGAGTGGGACGCCGTCTCTGCCGCTTGTTCCTGCAGGTCAGATAAGTCAGCAGATTAATTTATTTACCTAAAATTTAACTAAACCTAAGCCATCTATCCATACAAAGTCTACCTTATGGATATAAAACCTCTCTCTTTTAGATAAATATGCCAATAATTAAAAATATTATAACAACTATGTACTGCTGCAAAGTTAATACTTTAGCACACCAACAAACTGACTGTTGTTCATTTGCTCTTTGTTATACAAGTCTAACAAATCATGTTATTTATACATCTATCACTTTTTCACAAATCGTTAATGCCATCACAGGTGATACAAGAGTCTAACTTGGATAGATGGATACATATTTTTATTGTCTCTATGGGGATATTTGGCTCCGACTACAAAACACCAACATGAAGATAATGCAATTAAAAATAAATGTTTGGAAAAAAAAAATCTATAAAATGCTTTCAAAAGGTAAACAAACACATGATCTATAGTATCCAACAAGTTGTGAGCCCTTTCCCTGTCTGCTCTAATCTCGGAGTATGTGCCGAGTACGACTCTCGACTACTACCACATCAAATTTGACCTCAATGTCTATAAAACTGACAGCCTTTATGTAATTAATCTGCTGTGTCAGCTACTTTTTGAAGAGAGAAAAGTTAATATGTTCTTGATGTGCATCGAATGATTACTTTCTAAGAGTTTAATTAAAATCCATCCAATGATTCATGAGATATTTTGCTAACAGACAAACACACAGGTGATTACATTACGACCAGCATTTCATGGCAGCATAAGAGAACAAAAATCTGTGTCTCTTTGTCAGCCAGTGAGTGGATGAATCAAATCCTCCTTACAGAGTCGGGGTCAGCCTTGGCCGGACTGCTGGGCTGCTGGGGGTGGTCACTCAGTGACAGCTGCTCTCTGAGGGTCTCTGCCTCTCGCTGGGCTGCTTCAGCTCGCTGGAAGGAAACGAAGGCATGTGAAACAAAGAGCCTGCTTGATTTGTTTTAACGTCTCTGTCATCATGCAACCATGGCAAGTTGAAAGTAATGTCAACTGGATTCTTGTTTTTAATTCCTAAAGATGTTTGGCCTCTCATCTGTGGAGCTTTTCCAGCTTCTTCTCAACCTTCTAGTAGTCAAAACTGAACAAAGCTCCTCGGGTTAGAAGCCAAACATCTTTAAGAATCAAAGTAAATGGTAAATGAACTGTACTTATATAGCATCTTTCCATCTTATCAAGACACTCAAAGTGCTTTACACTACAACCTGTGTCCTCATTTACCCATTCATCAGCACTTCACTAGATCTGTGCAAAGCTAATTGAACAAATCATTCTAAAGAGACTAATCAGAGCTTTATCACATTCATACACTGATGGGACACACATCAGAGGCTATGAAGGATTCAGTGTCAGTGCCCAGGAACACTTCCGACATGTGACTGCTGGTGGATTCGAACCCCCAACTCCTGCATTGGAGGACGACTGCTCTAACCACTCAGCTACAGCTGCCCCAGTCCAGTTTTCTTTGAGTTAACTTTTTAGGTTTCATACCCTTTCACTCAAAAACAAATCATTTCACTTGATTTAGCATACATTTTGGTGAAACCCTTTTCGTTTTAAGACTTTATCCCTCTAAACACTTTTTCAGACAACTGTAGTGAAATCAATTTAACAGAGATATATTAAAAAAGACAGAACAAGAGCGTGTGCACCTCTGAGAAGCCGCCAATGACCGCCAAGCTGTTTGTGACAGTCTTAAAGAAAACACGACACAGTTGGGCAAAGGGTAATAAAGTTTCAAAGAAAAGGTTTTCCATTACACAATGAGCCCACACCTTCATACTGTGGTGTGGTCATATGGGGGGGGGGGGGGGGGGGGGGAGAGCTCTTTTCAGCCAAAACAAATGTACAACATGAGGGAGGGCTGTGTAGAAAAACAACAGAAAGATATTTTCAATTAAAAATAGAAAACCATTCCTCAACTTAAATGATAGTCCCTGCCTTATATTTAGAACCACACAGCCATGTTTGGTTTGGGAATCATCTGCAACACAGGCCAACTTCCCATCATTAGGAGGTACAGGGAGCTGATTTCACAGCGTTCCTAATTGCAACCACATTGAGAAGTGTTATTGACTAGGTGGGAGCTAAAGTGCTAGTTGCACAAGGGGAAAAAAAAAACACCCTGTTTTCCATTTTCTTCTTATAAAAGCATATAAAAAGTCTGAGAGAGCCAGAGGCCACGCTGTCGCCCTGCGTAAACCTCAGATCAGAAGTGTGAATAGCGTGTTTGTGGCATTATGGCTGAAGCGTTAACCTTTGGGCTAATATTAACATTACATGCCTATGCTACCCCTTTAACCAAAATCATACTCTTGGACTAACAATGAACGTTAACAACGATGACATTAACAGATAGCGCAGGAATATTTAACAACGGGGGGGGGGGGGGGGGGTATTTACGCTGAATGGGTTTTGTAGGTGTGTGGAAAATCACATAAAACAAACAAACAGCCCCTCACAGCGATAAGCAAGACGGTACGTGTTCATGTAGGGCAAACTTCTTTAGAGAGCAGATCTAATAGTTCACATTCTTCTTGCTTAAAAATATAAATTAGTAAACGGAAAACAAAAGCAGGCTGTAGGAAAAACAAGCACATCCTGAGTGTAACGTCAGAAATACACGTGTTTTTCTTTTTTAGAAAGAGCTTAATAAATCCTTTAAACAGCTGAATATTAATGTTTGTCAAAGTAGAACAAATGGAGTGCTTGTTCAGGACTATTTTCAGGCACAGATAAATGCACATTTGGTGCACAGGTGAATATTTTCTGTAGCAAGGCAGCTAGAGGGAGGTCACCTAAAAACAGCTAGATGCAGGTTTAACATGAAGGAGACACAGTGCCATGTTGTGAATCAGTCATGCATTTTCTTTTATTTATTACAGTTGACACTTTTGGCAGAAATGTGAGATTTACACAATAAGACTGGTTAGGTTTAATGTTTTGGCATTTGGTAACAAAATACACTTGCAGTAAATTAATTCAAGATTAATTTGTAAGGTTTCAGAGCTAAATTTTTTGAGCTGGACATGCTTTTAAATGGCACTGAGTGAGTTACCTGATTGGCTCTTTCCAGGTCTGTCATCACCATCTCAATTTCATCGACCCTGAAAAAGATCATTATTATCAATCTACAGAAAAGCACAGAACACGTGACAGTGCTTAAAAGACTAAATGAGCTTCCATAAAGCGTGGATAAATGAGTGAACGATTCCCAGAAAGAACAAGACTCTGAACGATCGTGTGCAGAGGGCGCACTTTTAAAGAATGCTGCGTCCATTAAGCTGCTGTCTAAATTTCACCTTAATCCACTGATTGTGAACTCCATTACCCAAACAGCTTGTATGTGTGCGTGCATACATGTATTTAAGTGTCTTTGCATGTGGGTGTGCACATGTAAGCCCCTAAAACCTAGGCCACACTAAAACAGAGGGATTACATTAATAGAGCTCTAAGTCCTAATACAGCAGACTAATCTGCTATGAAGCTGTGTGATTGTGTCTGACTAATGGTCTGGATGGAGGCCAGGGTTCACCTCTCACTTGCTGGAGGTCAGGCGTCAAGAAAACGTCACTACATTTTCACCTCTCATTGGACATTG